TTTATTTGATTGGAAAAACATTTAAAAAAATGTTAAAAAAAGGAGAAAATAGATAAGTAGGTTTCTTGGCCTTAGAGAGCGTCACATCAGCATGTTTGATATCCACCTTTATATATATATAGATGTGTTGAGTTTCACCATTTTGCGATCCCTTCTTTGCTTGAAAATTGTTTGAAACATAATACTAATGAAGAGATATAGAGAAAATTAAATATAACATAAGGGAACAATTTTTTATTTTTCAATAACTCAATTAATATTGTGTAAATGCTTTTGTGAGTTGTTAGTATTTTCTTGAGTGATTTGGACAACACTGGGCTTAGGCAGATTATGGGCCCGCCATTCACATGATTGTTATCGGAATTGTTATTTGTGTTGGGTTGAAAAATTGGAAAAATGGGCTCTACCTTATTTGGGCTTTCCCAAACATAAATCTAAACTGAAGTTCATTTTTCAGATCACCAACTCAACAACTGGGCCTGGCCCAATGTTTTATGAAAGTCGTCAAGTAAAATGACCACATCCAATCCAAAATTCTTTCATAGTTAAAGATTTTCTTCTCTCTTTTGGGATCATTGTTATTAGGATTTTTTGCACGAATCTAAAGAAATAAATTCAAGTTTATCGTATTGACTGTTTCGTTTTTTCAAAAAAATAGCAATAAAAACTATACACATACATGTAACCTCCAACATGACTACTAAATTTGACCTATGTCATCGGCCTTTGCATCACAAATAAAATGCCAAAGCTTCACTTTCATATCTTTTTTTCCCTCTTTAACGGACTTTACCTTTTTAAGAGTTCTCTCCCGGTGTTTTTCCAATTTCTTTTCTTTATTTATACTTGTATAGCGACATATGTTGTATGTCAATTTATATACTTCATATACACGGGCTCGGTCAGTAGAAGGGACGACTTTGTCTCCCCGATATATACAATGACATATACTAACATACAAGACATACATGTGATGTATATGGTGATATACACATATGAGTGTGAGCGGTCATGTATAAGACATTGTTCAAGTATCAACTATTATTTTATAGTTATTGTCCAACTCTAATGATAGATGTTGTCAATGTCATTTCACAAAAATATATATGGCGTATTATATTCTATTAAAAGTAAATACTATGGATACTAATATATGATGTATCAAATGCGACTCAAACATATTTTGGTATGTATACACTAAAATGATGTCAAGTTTAAGAATATCACATACAATCTCAATACGAGTTCACCATCTTAAAAGCTAATGGAGTATCCATTTAACTTCTTCTTCAAATCATGAGATCAATTTCTATCTATCTAATATTTATATTATGTGTTAGTTTGTTAAATTTATCGATAAAAAAACTTATCAATTATTTATAAGATTAAGCTTTTCAAAACAAGAAGGTCGCATTAGTGTGGTTCTAATTCTCTGAAGCACTAGCATACCGTAAACATATTGTTTTAAAATACCTTTTCACATTTTAAATGTAATAATTCCTTAACTTGTGGTTAGATTTTTCAATACTAAGCAACTAAGTTTTAGATTATTCACTTAAAAATTACATGTCAATTTCACTTCAGAACCTGATTAAATTTAAAATAGCTTTTAAACATCAAATGCCAAAAAAACACTTTTTAAAGTATTAAAACTTAATTTATATTAAATAAAAATAGGATAAATTACCTAACTACACAATCTTTCTTTCTATATTTTCTAAAATTCCCTACCATTTCAAAATATTTAAAAAATCTCTCTTTTTCTCTTCTTTTCCGGATACATTATTCACATCCCTTCCAATCCAACGATTTTGTTCCTATTTTACGCCTAAAATCACTCCCATATATCAACAGTTACATCAATCACTCAATTTTTTTAATTTTAAATCTATTCTCTCTCAAGTTCATCGATTTCAAGTTCCTAAAGAGGTAGAACTATTTTTTCATCATTTTTTTTATTACAGTTCTTCAGATGTCGTTTTTTTTTAAATTATCTTTTTCATTTACAATTTTCTGATACATATGAATTTTGTTCCCTCTTTTTAGTATGGTACCTTGTGTATTTGATTTTGATGATGAAAATTTTCATGAAAATAGATCTAATCAACTCATTATGATTCCGACGATGATGATAGGGCTGAAAATAGATCCAAAAAGTTGTAGGATCCATTAACAATGGCAAATCACAACATTTAGAAGACGAAGTCGAAGAAGTATGTAACTTCATCTTTTAAAGTTAATGTGGAACCCCCCCCCCCCCCCCCAAAAAAAAAAAAGGGTAGAAGAGTTGTATCTGCTATGTGGTGTGTTATCTTTGAAGAAAATGATCTAGGATTAACAATCTTTGAAGAAAATGATCTATTGGTGGGCTCTGGTAAGGACTTCGGATCGAGACCCATGGGTGACGTCATTGTTAACAGTGAAAAAATGATATAAGAGTGAATGTTGAGAAGGAGAAGAAGGATGTACATTCGTCTTTTGAAGTGAATGTAGAAAAGAATAGATGTACATCCGTATTCTAAAGTGAATGTTGAGAAGGAAAAGTCAAAACATATTAGATTGTTGACTTTTTTTTTTCAATTTTTTCTTGTTCATATTTTTCTGATATATATGGGTTCAAATTGTTAATGTATCCAGTTGTTTTTGTTTCTTAAATTAACGTATAATTCTTTCGTTTCAAAATTATGATACATTACAATTTCATCATGTACAATGTATCGTGTTCAAATTACCAAATTATATTACAATTATAGTTTGGGATACATTAACTAGATTTTATTGTATTAAGTTAATTTTGTTTCTTAATTAATGTATAATGTCTTTCTTTCAACACTACGATACATTACAATTTTATCATGCATAGTGTATCATGCTCAAATATTAGTTTTGATACATAACCTTAATTAGTTTTGATACTTGATATAAAACTTCTACCAAATGTATCATTTCTCATGTATCTAGGTGTGGTTATGTATCTTCTACCTTATTCAAATTTAGAAAGATGTGTATTCGTACACACTACCAAATCATATGCGGGATACATAAACCTTACTATTTTCATAGCTAAATATGTGTGGTAAAAATATTTGTAGCTGAATCCGTCGATACCGTCTTTTTCTATTATAGATAGATATTTAATAAAGTGATTAACAAATTGATTCATAACAACGTGTCATAACTGCCTAATAGTGATCTTGGCACACAACAATGCCTATGATACTTATTATCACTTATATATGATATATCTATTAAAGTGCCATAGAAGTTTGTATCAAATTCATAAATGGTGATACAAAAATGTTATTATCAAAAGTTTGTTTAGTTTGAGGCAAATTGTGAAGATCTTGCAGCTATGTATCTGATACAATAAATATGAAGCACATTGATACATAAATTAAATCTGTCCAATTGATATTAAAAAGAAACACAAGTGTAATTTATGAGATTTAATTAAAATTTCAGATTTATTTCCTATTTTAGCGCAACAGATTGACACTTATTGTAAGGCAACATTAATGTATCCGGACAATCAATTATGTATCCGAATGGCTGATATTTTAGGAAATTTTTGTAAAATAGAAAAGAATAAGGATAAAATGTAATTTAAGTCTTACGAAATTTATGTAAGTTATACATAAAAATAAGGGAGGGTCAAAAATACCCCTCAAATTTAGTTTATTGTTTGACTTTACCCTCGCCGTTAAAATGAAGTTAATTTTACCCCTCCCGTTACTAATTTCACCAAAATTACCCCTCATTTGACAGAATCCCCAAAATTGACCCAAATTGACCTGAATTTTTAAAAAAAAACCCTATTCCCTATTTTTAACCCAATGCCCAGACCTGCCTCGACCCCTCTAACCCGTTGTTCTTCATTTCTCTTCCTTTTGATTGTTCTTCCATATCAACTGTGCCAGCGCGTTCATTTTTCGGCAAAATTGACCAATTTGAAGACTGCACTGCTCTTCACCACTTAAAATCATCTACATTCGACCAATTCCCTGTCTCTTCACCAAGATTAGCTTCCTCAAGATCCTTCTCAATCCCTTCATACTTTAAGCAATATGGTGCAAACCTTACACCATCACTATCCTCGATGATCGGCCTACTCCTCACTCGAAGATAAAAATCACATTTTTTAGCTTGATGAATCCGAATCTGATGTGAAGCCATAACGAACACACAATTCGTTACTTCTTCAATCAACACTGACCCAAAAACAGGTCCAACATATACCTTACAATCAATCAATTTATGCACAAACAATGCCCTCACACTCCCCCATTAATCTCACATCTCAACCCTTTAAATCTGATAAAACAAATTCCTTGATCTATTCATCATTACCCCTACCGAATTCCTTCACTAATACCTTATTTTCTTTGCCCCTAAACCTTGGCGAATCCAAAACTCTTAACACTGAATCCTTTGATTCCATATTTGAAACTTCTGATATGATGTTGTTTTGCGTTGTGATTTTCTTCGTTGATTCGTTTTTGAAAGAGAATTTCTTCCTTGGGATTACTTCGCACGTAACCTGTTCGACTAATTATTTTAGATCGGTTATAGTTTTGAGGCATGTACGGACTTCGTAGGACGGTAGGGGAATGGGTTATCCTCTAGAGGGTCGGGTCATTGGGTTAAAATAGGGAATAGGGTTTTTTTTAAAAAATTCGGGTCAATTTGGGTCAATTTTGGGGTTTCCGTCTAATGAGGGGTAAATTTGGTGAAATTAGTAACGGGAGGGGTAAAATTAACTTCATTTTAACGGCGAAGGTAAAGTCAAACAATAAACTAAAGTTGAGGGGTATTTTTGACCCTTTGCCCTAAAAATAATTAACAAATTAATCAAAACAAATTTTAAGCCCATTTAACCCTTCTTCATCATTTAGCGGCACACAACGGGGGCATATATGTCAAAAGACAGCAACTAGGGAAACCCTAGTTCTATCCGTCCGTTACTATATAAAGTGTCATAGGGCTGAAGCTCATACCCATTTGTATCCGGCCGCCGATTCCGTCAGTTCTCTGAGGTAACATCGTTCAGTTTCCGATCGGTTAATATTGGCAAAGTTCTCTCAATTATGTTTCCTTCTTAGCAAATTGTTAGCACTGTTGATTATACATGTTTGATTCTAGTTATCACATATAGAGTTAGAGTGATGTGATTAGCTACGTCTGATTAACAAATTTTGTGCAATCGTTCGGCAATTTAATGTTTTATAACTGAGATTTGTTCATCCTCATCTAAATCTTATCCGTTTAGCTTTGATTGCTCATACGTTTTCAACCACTTCTGGTAAACGTTTAGCATGTTTGTCCTTTTTTGAATCTTCAATGGAATAGTTCCGACTGGTCTGTAATTGATTTAAATGTTCCGTATAATCCTATAGTTTTAGTTTGGTATTGAGGTTTGGTTGATTGATATACGTTTTCCAAATTCAAGTATTTTTTTTATCTCAAAGAGTCCTCGTTTTAATCTTATTGATGTAAATATGGATTGCACTAAATTTTGAGTGATTTAGGTGCTTATTTCCTAAAAATATTTTTATAAACTTTTTTCCGGTGTTGTTTACGTTGTGGTACAAGTAGGTATGTTGGGTTTGTCCAGAATTCTTAGGAGTGATAGAAATGTATTCCCTTTAACAACTTGAAAAAGTAATCAAGGCTGGAGTCTCAGAAGGGCTCTTTCACCAGGACACCATTAATTTGGGTTTTTGGAATGAATGACAGTTGAGTCCTGAGAATTGGCATGTTCTACTTGCCATAGGCCTTTGGTCAGGGAGCTTTTCTATTCATCTTCTAGAATTGGTGTTGGATCCACATATCTTACTTGACTAGAGCAATACAATATATTTTTTTCTCAATTTGTATATGTTACTTGGTCTAAGGTTTATTTATTTTATTTTTTGAAACAAATTACTTCTATGTATACCTTGTGCACTTTTTAAATAACCCTTGAAATATTTATACTTTTTTATTGTTCTTCACTTTGTTTTGATATTTAATTTACATTTTATTAATTTTTTGTATTTCAAATTCAGTTCTTTTCTACGTTGCATTTTCTTTTTGTTGTTTTGATTGATATTTTCTTTTAATGTTTATTAGTTAATTATCCGAAGTGATTTTAAAGATGTTTGTAGATTTGTGTCTATTTTATTGAATTAGATTACAGACAGCCTGTCCTGCAGAGATATGACATTTATCGGTTATTGGTTTTCCCTACGGTAAATATCTCACTTCATGTGGAGATTCTGATTTAATTGAAACCAACTTTTTGTTTGACTTGCAATACTTTTTTCCATTTTCTTAGCTACAAGTTTGTACTCCCAGATGTTGTCTCTTGCACTCTCCTTAAAGGTTGAGGCCACTTAGCCTTTTATTTTTCTAGCTATTACAGGTAGGAAAAATGTCGCATCGTAAGTTTGAGCACCCAAGGCATGGTTCTTTGGGATTTCTTCCAAGGAAAAGAGCTGCACGACACAGAGGAAAAGGTTTTAATTCTAATCCTTTTCTTTACTAGTTAGATTTGCATTATTGCTGCTGATAACAGTGTGTTACTTATTTTGGAGGTAAAATATGGTAGTGTGTTTTCCCACTTGATATTTGTCTCAAAGTTTTTGAGTTTGTTTAATGTGAACTAGTAACACCATTGAAATTCAACTTTTGATTATTTAACAACGGATTGCAACTTCAAAGCCTATTCATATCTTACCTACTATGTAATGGACAGAATTCTAAGAATGTGCTGTCTTTGGTTTTATTCCACAACTTTTAGCTCTCTTGTTTTAGGGGTGACAGACATTTCTGATCCAACAAGTCTATTTATCAAACAACCTTTAAGTTGGGAGTGGATGTAATGTTTAAAATATCTTAGTGGAACCTAATACTTTGATCAACTTTGTTTATGCAGTGAAGGCTTTTCCCAAAGATGATCCAACGAAACCTTGCAGGTTGACAGCTTTCCTTGGATATAAAGCTGGCATGACCCATATTGTCAGAGAAGTTGAAAAACCAGGGTCAAGTAAGTATTGCTTACAACTTACAAGATTCTGCTGTCAATATGCCAATGCAGTACTGGCATTAGGGTTAAGAAAATTATGTGTCATTAAAGATCTAGGTTTATACATGTTAGATGTTTCTCGACGCTACAAATCTTAAGTTATATTGTGAATGTCTTGATAAGTAACTATGTTCGTATGTTGGGCTACTTGGAAAATGCCCACATTGAGCTTTGTTAACTGTTGGTAGAACTTTAGGCAATAACATGCATCTTTGAATATACATGTCTTTCCAAGTAAGCAAATACAACATATATCTGTCATTTATGAGTTGCATTTGTGCAGAGCTCCATAAGAAAGAGACTTGCGAAGCTGTTACCATAATTGAAACACCTCCAATGATTGTTGTTGGGGTTGTCGGTTATGTGAAAACACCACGTGGCCTTCGCTGCCTGAGCACTGTCTGGGCTCAGCATCTTAGTGAAGAAATTAAAAGGAGGTTCTACAAGAACTGGTGCATGTCCAAAAAGAAGGCCTTTGCCAAGTACTCAAAGAAGTATGAAACTGATGAAGGCAAGAAAGATATTAATGCACAGTTGGAGAAGATGAAGAAGTATTGTTCTGTGATTCGCGTTCTTGCCCATACTCAGGTATTTGCTCTTTTTTTGTGTCATTATGTTTACCTTATTATACTCTTTTGAGACACTAAGGATCCTCTATAATTTTTTCTTTGCAGATTAGGAAAATGAAAGGTCTCAAGCAAAAGAAGGCACATCTGATGGAGATTCAGGTTAATGGTGGGGATGTTGCCCAGAAGGTTGATTATGCTTATGGCTTTTTTGAGAAACAGATTCCCATTGATGCAATTTTCCAGAAGGATGAAATGATTGATATCATTGGTGTGACTAAAGGTAAGGGGTATGAGGGTGTGGTTACTCGTTGGGGCGTGACCCGGCTCCCACGTAAGACTCATCGTGGTCTTAGAAAGGTGGCTTGTATTGGTGCTTGGCATCCAGCTAGGGTGTCATTTACTGTTGCTAGGGCTGGGCAGAATGGTTATCACCATCGTACTGAGATGAACAAGAAAGTCTACAGGCTGGGCAAGGCTGGACAGGAGTCTCATTCTGCCATAACTGAGTTCGACAGGACTGAGAAGGAAATCACTCCAATCGGTGGATTCCCTCACTATGGTGTTGTGAAAGAGGACTTTCTGTTGATTAAGGGCTGCTGTGTTGGACCAAAGAAGCGTGTTGTGACTTTGAGGCAGTCATTGTTGAACCAGACATCTAGGGTTGCATTGGAGGAGATCAAGCTCAAGTTCATTGACACATCATCCAAGTTTGGCCATGGACGCTTCCAGACTACACAGGAGAAGGCAAAATTCTATGGACGCCTTAAAGCTTGAGAATTTGTCAAGACCATATAGGCACTTCTTTTTTGTCAGAGATGAACTACATTTATAAGTTGCTATGTCGTTTTTTATTTATTCTGAATACTGTGACAATTTTGTGAGATTAAAGTTAATGCTTGTTATTTCAATAAGCATTTTTTGGACATGTATCTTTTTTGTGTTCCATATCTCGCTAGCCTACTGCCCAATATTCACTGGGTTGCTTCCTCCTTTCTCTATGATCCTTCCCTTTTAGACACATGCTTTACTTGAGCCGAGTTTCTATCTTTATCTTCACAAGGGCATTTCCCATGGGGCATGAGTGAAATTTATTTCCTTGAGCTCTCATTATAAGAAGGATTTCCGTGTTAACCCGTTTGGCTCCTCTCACTCTTGAGGCATGTAATGGTCTTGGTGATTCTTCTTCTGTACTGAATTGGTGTTGGTAAGCAATTACACAATTCTCTTTTGTTGCGTCTAAGCTATTCTTGACATATTATGAACGATTTATAATCAGTCTGGAGACCAGCATGTTTAATGATTTTCATATTTAAAGGTACATGTACTCATATACCATTAAATTTATTGATGTGTTGATGGTTAGTTTTTGTTCATAGAAAAATGGGATCACACGTTAAAGCTCAAGATAATAAAGGCATCATTTCACATGGGAAGCAAGAACGTCAACATAAATATCATTAGAAAAGAGAAAAATGGAAGGAGAGTGGGATTTTATGCCCCCCTATAAAGCTAACAAAGGAAACCTACGATGTGGAAAAGAAGCAATTGATATGAATCTCTCTTCTATGAATAATAAAACAACAATAACTTCCTCTTGGTTTACTAAGATGGTTTGGAGTCACTTTTTGTACATCTCAACTATTACATCAAATACTATATTTCGCTAATAATACGCTGAATATCTCAATCCATCAAGACTCGAGCAAAGCTTTTGTACACTTCAAGGTAAATTGTACTACTTTGTAAGTGACAAGTTTGTTTTATTGGAAGACTTGAGATGAAAAATTAGAGTGGGGGGTGGGGGCACAAAGGAGAAAAACTGAGAAAGCAGACAATGTCTGAACATTGCTTTATTCTTCTAAACATGGGCCAACTGGACCCCCCCAAAGATGTCTTGTAGTAAAAATTTGTGCTCTTTCCTTGAAATGACCCCAATATAAATAAAGCAGAGGCATTATAATTTCAAAACCAAAATGAAAAAAAACATAATCTAATTTAGGTAGTAAAATCCCCCTCTCCTTTTTCTCTTTTTTTGTGGGCTGTTTTTTAACACTATGGAAAAGATCAACTCGATAAAAAGCAAGAAAAAAATTAAAACAAAATGTTTCCTTCCCCTCACTTCCTATTGTCATATTTTGAACCGTACCTACATGATGCGAAATTAGATTAGTCTGACTAATAAATATGAGATATCATAAATTTGAGCGTATTTTGCGAGAAATTAAATTAGTAGAGTCAGTGAGTGTGAGATATAGTACGATTGAGCCTATTTAGTGAGAAATCAAATTAGTCAAGACTAATGAGAATGAGACACATGTACTATTAACAAAAAAAGAGAAAGAAAAACTTTTTCATTTTTTTTTTCATTTCTGCTTCAAGTAAATTATCATATTTTAGACCATTCTCATAGAGAGGAGCCAGAATTGACGTGGGGTGGATGGATATAAAGCTTCAACATAAAAGTGGACTTTGTGCAAATAATTCAAGAAATTTAAGCTACTATTAGTGCTTCTGACAAAAAGTTTGTGGGGTTTATAAGACAAAGATTTTGGTAGGTAAAATTGAGGAATAAATCAAGAAAATGGTATACCACCTCAAAGATGTGGTGGAGTGTATGTGGCCGCTTCTCTCTTAACTAGATATTTTGTGTTCGAGCTCGAGATATGGAAAAATTCTTGATAGGTAACCTTTCTCCCTGAATAGGCCCTACGCGGTATAAAACCACTCCAATGCAGATACCGAACACCGAGTGGGGCAATCAAGAAAAATGGTCGCAATCACTAACTTTTTTTTCTAGCTTTTCTCCTTTTTGTGTTGAGAGATAAAAAAAAAAACTTTATTTTTCTTTCTTCAATTGAATCATGGCTCTTCTGGTATAGCATTAGCTGTAAGATTGTCAAAAATTCCACCTGCTGCAGCTTTTTTTTTTATTATAAAAAAATAAAATTGTTTGGCAGCTTTTGCTTATCCTGACTATCTAGTGGGAGATCATGTTTTTTTTGTTTGTATGTTTTTTCTAACTTTGAATAATGAAACCTCATATTTGTTTTTTGTCCATCTATTTCTGTGTAAACTTCATAAAAAGAGACTTTAATTGACTATACAATATCTTCTTGATTAATAAAATTCATAATTTTATGCCTTTTATATTAGATTACAACTTCTTTTTTGGATGTCTTAATTTTTTGAAATTAATAAAGATTTCTATCTATTTCACCCCTCTTAATTTTCATTCTTGGAAAGCTCGAGCTTCTAAGTGAGATAATACTTACTCTCAGCCTCTTTGATTAATAGGCGACTACATGTCTCAATAAAAGGATAATAGTGAAAGAAAATAAAGAAGTCAACCTATCATGATACGTAAAATTATACTAGTGGTATAAAAAAATATTTACGCTCTCAATAAAAAAAAATTATATTAGAATTGAATTTAGCTTAAGAGAAAGCCATGAATTATGGTATCTTGAAAATGAATGCTTTTGCAAGCATCAAAGAGGGGTCACACTTTGCTTTAGGCTCTACAGACAAAGAGGGCCAACACATTTGATTTCTTTAAGTTTGCTTCCCTAAATGTACAAACAAAGGTATAGTACTGATTAAGTTTGGCATCAAGATCATGTACAATAAACAACATAAGGCAAAAGAAAACAAAAAGAGTTCAACTTTTGTGTACTGACGGTGTATAATTTTTTCTTATATTATTATTTTAACGTTACATATAACACTATATTTAAATATACTGATAATGTAAAAGTTTTTTTTTTTTTTGTACTTATATCCAAAGAAAAGTCTACTAACTAAGATTATCTTATAATTTTGTCTTTATATTTCTTTCCAACTAGGTATAAAGCTACCTAGTTTGAGCTGTGATTTTCAATAAAATTGGAGTCATATGTCTGTCTGTTTCTTTCATCACATGAAACTATAGAATATATAAAGTCCTTAATATTGGGGCTTAATCTTTCTCAGGATTAAATTCTCTTTCAAATTTATGTTTATTCATCACATTCTTATTTCCAAGTAGATAACATCACAGAGCAAGATTCAAGGTATTTTTTCCTCTATTTTTGCAGCTCATGATTTTTACCTGCATTTCTTATCTGATATTATTTTAAGTGTGTTACAAAAATGGGAAACTGATATTGCTTGATGATGAAGTGAAATTGTGTGTGTTGAACTGTTGATAAATGTTAAAGGTATTCATAGTTTTTATTAAGCTATACTTGTTTCTTGGAGATCATCATTTGTATAATAATAAATTAATAAAAACAAGAAAACATGATCATGATATATTCAGAAGCAAAATAAACCTGTTGATTTCTCTTCACTTCAAAGCTAAAAACACAACTTTTGCTACCATGAAGTTGTGATAAAATAATGAGAGTTGTAAATTCCAAAGATAGATATATTTGTGCATCACTTGTGAGCTGTGAGCATTCTTTCGTAGTTTGGATTTTTTCTAATGAGTCTTTTAGTCCTATTAGAGAACTTGTTGTCCTTTTGTTTGTTGTTTTGATTTGATTTTGATAAAATATTGGACTGAGATAAGCTTATATGGTCTGACATGGACAGTGAGGATTCATATAAACTTGGTTGATATTGATCAATGAAACAAGTGGATACGAATATGAGTGAGCTTGGTTCAGAAAGATCAAATCCATGGAACATTATTCACACAAGTTCAGAACCTAGTCCTTCCCAAACACAAGTAAACAGAGAAGGACAATGGAAGAATTTCGGGACATCAATGGATGCTATTTCTTTTGGCTTTGTTGCTACAGCTATACTCATATCAATGTTTCTCATCATGGCCATATTTGAACATCTCTTCAAGCCTAGCCCCCCTTTCTCTTCGCCTCTAGGTAGTAGTAGACACAGTTCCTTGGAGTTGGGGCCTATTCAGAAACGCGCAAGTTCACAAACAGTAAGTGTCATTTCTTTCTGTAATTGCATTTTTTTTTTGGTTCAAACATCATTCCCTCCACTTGATTTAATCTTAAATGATCATCTTTTGTATGAACAGGTACCAACGCGATATTCATCGGATTATACAGTTATGATGCCAGGACAACAGTATCCTACCTTCATTGCCAAGCCAACCCCACTGGCTTGTCCAAGGGAAGGGGTTTATTGGCATTCCCATGAGCATAGTTTTCCCTTCTCTTAATGATCCTAAAAGACTAATTATTGTATTATCATATTTATGAATCCTAATGTGACCATCAAAAAAGTTCACCAATTGCAGAATCTATTACTCTCTCACCATGCTCAGACCTGTAAAATTAGCTGTCGGGCTAAAACTGAAGTTTTGCACATTGGGAAGAAGGAAAATGAGGGGGTGACATTCATTGTTTTTGTGTGATATATTTGTTTTTTTTCTTTGTATATTGACTGAGTTCCCCTCTTTCTGTATTGTCTTTTCCAATATGTGAGATGTGGGGATGATCAGGGAAGTTCAGTAGGCTAAGTTTTAGTTTGTTGCTTTGAAGTAAGCTTATTTTACCATGTATTGCTTTACCAGTCTTTTGACTATTGAGCTATGCACTTCTTTCTACTTCCCGCAGTTTTATGTCACTTGATGCTAATTCTAGGAAATATGGCTAATGTTTTGTGCATTAATCTGAGATATTCCAACAAGGTGAAAATTCAAGCAATTACCCGTGGCTTGACTTTTTTGGAGCTAAAAACTCCTGTTCTCATATAACCACTCAAGATTCTTGCTGGAGTTGATCTCAATCAAACAATTGTGACTTTCCCTAATTGGTTAAACATCACAGTGAGCATAGGACATAGGCTCAAAGAGATTTTTGGAGAAGTGAGAATTATATTACAACCAATATTGTCATGATTTACATTAAGCGCAAACAAAATCAGAACAAAGATTAGAGACATCTCAAAGTACAGAACAGTTGCTTCATCCCCTTTTTTGGCACTTTCGCCAAATTTTGTACAACAGGTGTTTCAACATCAAGAAAACTGAGCAACAAACTACACTGCAACTTCTCCCTGTAGCTTTTGCATTGTTTTGAGTATAAATAAAAGAGAACCTCTTCTAAATTACTCTGATATTTCATCATCGGGTTGTATTACAGTTAGCAAGGAATATTTGACCCTCACAGAGATCCTTCCTTTCTCAACCATAAGCCTTGCACCTGAAACAACCCAATAACCAGGAGGTTCCTGTGGTCCTCGAGTCATCTCAGTAGTATCGACAAATTTCAAGAGCTTAGGGGCTTGCACAGGAACTGGAGGACCACCAGGGTAAATGGCAGAATTTATGTTCACATCATCTGGCCGCGGAGGTGGCTTCTGAACTGATGTGAAGTGCTGGCTAATGAGAGTTGATATCAGGCCAGATTTGCGAGCCAACCCAGGAGAACCATCCCACTCAGCGTGCTTTACCATAGTAGCTCCCATGACAGTCGAGAAACGGAGCCTCAGAAAGAGGACCTTTTTAAACCCATAGTCCCCTAATTCCAATTGTGCTCCAGTAACTATGTTAAGATCTTCATCAGATTCAACAGGTGCGGTGCAGACGTGAGAAAAGTTCTTCCATTGAACTTTTTCATAGTATTTGCGATCATATGATTCTCGGCGAAAATTGCCATTTGGATCATCTTCAAGTTGGAAGACTTTAGGAAGAGATGAAAGATGCTGTAAATGGACAGCTAAGCGGTTACTCCTTCTACCTTCAAGGTACAAACGAAGTCCAGTCACCGGCCTCTTGCCAACATCAACCTGCAAGAATAATATGAATCACATGGACGGCTGGAAAGAAGGTACTAAGCAGACTAGTCAGCAATATTTTCCCCTCCTTTTACTTCCTTCCCTGATCCCGAGCATTTGGTGCAAGACCAAAAGAAGCTAGTGGGAGTTTCCATCTCATTTTGCACAGTGAACTCAATTATAAGCTGAAATGGAAGTAAATGGAAACAGTCTTCCTAAAGATCGAAAACAGTTAGCTATGCACTCCGAGCTGCTCCTCACCCATAATAATTCACAAGGGCACACATTGTAATTTAAATGAAGAAGCAAAGATGTTATTGTCTCGCATCCTTAGCTGAAAACATTATTTTAAGGATCATGTGCACAAGTATTTGGAGAAATACAGCCAAATCCTTACAAAATCCAAAGACGGCATGGTATGAAGTCAACCTAAGTAACATACCCACAAATAGCATGTCTTTTGTTTTATATTCCATGAATTGTTGCAAACTAATTGGAGATAATGATGAGAGATTTTTTGTTATTAGGAAAGAAGAGGGAGAAAAAATTTCATTTGGAAGATTGGAAAAGTATAAAAACCCCCAGTTCATTTGGAGATAGAATTTGGATTGTCCTCATTTAACATGGTGCTGCCAGGAGCATAATTAGATTTGTCTGAGAGGAGAAAACTTTATGGAAAAAGATAATAGCTATTAAGTTAGGAATTTCACAATAGATGTTCTATCGGGTGAGGTGACAAGCTCTCATGGGGCACATTTACTAAAAAAGAGCAAGAGATGGAAGGAAAAGTAAATAGGATACACTTCAGGGAGGATGTAACTGATCCTTTCAGAATGATAACTTGTTAAAAAAATGTATTATTTAAGAAGGATGACAAGGGACCACATGGATAGAAGCTTCAGAAAAGACATCTAGGGTTGAAAATTAACTAAGGTTGAGGAGTATCGGACGAATACTATGATAGCTAGTAAGGTGAGACTGGAAGACAAGATGATATAGTAAGGGTCAAAAACGGAACCCTTGACTATGGGATCATATTACATGGAGTTAGCTGAGATGGGATAAAAGGCGGCGTGGAATAATATATGGAACACCAGCCCCAAAGAAAAAAATAGATCTTCCCTTGGGGTGGTGTTATATGCAATGTTAATGACTTCAGGAAGATGACGGGATTGCTTTGAGTTGGTGCCGCTACATAAGGAGCACAAGGAGAAAATAAACCACCTTTTGCTCCATTGCAGGTCTTCTATAGAAAATTGAGGTGTTAAAATTAAGGGAGCTCACCGGAGTGGTGTTCACATAAAGCCTGGGACCCAGTAAACTGAACTGCAAAGACGGAAAACTTAAATGCCTTCTCTGTGGACCAAGCGGAAGATCACCGAATACTGGTGCCCATTGCCTTGGCAGCTGAAATTCCAAAAACTGGTGAAGCTCTTCAATTGGTGGTTTATCTGCATAAATAGACAACACTTCCATATAAAAGTGAAGATTTAAGGACAGAATTTCCAGGTAATTACATAATAAAATATCACATGCAATTAATACATTATCAAAAAAATCTTGATAAAGGATATCTGTTTGGACAACATTTGAGTTGAAATTGGGGGGAGGGGAAAGAATATTTAAAGTTGAAGTCAAAAGAAAAATGTTTGTGGAAGTTGAAGTTGTGGACATGAACTTCACTTGGAAAATAAATTTACGAGAGTCGAAGATTTGTGGCTAAAAGTGAAAGCTAGTATTTTCATTTGAAATACACACCTTCAAATGAGCACAACAGTAATTATGCCCAAACAGGCCAGCCTAACCCCCTCTTTCGAAAAAGTTTTTGCAAGATTTAAAAAATATTCCAAGATCAGACAACACATTAATATTTTGAGAAAATGCAGACATATTTAAATCAGCCATCTTCTTTTAGACCCATAATTAGCAGGGCTCAGTAAAGGTGCAAAATACAAGAACTTAACAGGACACCTCCTCCACCTTATATTTTGCCCAGAACTATTAATTGTAAAAGGTTCAAAATTAACATGAACTCAACAGGCCCTCCTCCGTCCTATTGTTTGCCCATAATATATGTTGCTCGGACTCTTCAAAATTGACAACGGGTGCATGTTGGATGCTCCAAAACTAGTGTATTTTTGGAGGATCCGACACAAGTGCAGCAACATTTTTGGAGAGCCTGATGTCACATCCCGCCACTTCGCAGTAGAATTTTGCGTCCGGATAGGGGCGGAAGGGTCTAGAGTTGTGGAGAGGTTTCCGGAAGATTCTAGAACCCTTTAGATTATTCAAGAAGGCTAGAGAATTCCCTAGAATTCTCTAGAATAACTTAGAAGGCAATGGAAGGTCCTAGATAGTTTCCAAGAAAGAATTCTCTAGAATGTGTAGAGAATTCTAGAAGAGGGACTAGATATTTTCTTGGAAAGCTTTAGAATTTCCTAGAATTAGTAGAAGATTCTAGGGAGGGACCAAAGTGTAAATAATTTAGGGACTTGTAAAGTAAATATTAATTACATTTTAGTCCCTAGGAGTTAGTATAAATAGGTGGTGCCATTCATTTGCAAGGCATCCAACCAAGAAAGCAAGCAAGCAAGTTGTAAGCATTCTCCAAACAATACAAAAAGCCTTCTTCCAAAATTCTCTAAGTCTTCCTTTTCATTCTCTTAGCGATCCTAGTTTCAAAGGGCTAACTTGAGCTTACAAGATCGTGAAAGATTCGTGAGTAAGTTGTCAAGTGCCGCACGGAGCATTAGTGAGACTCTAAGTCCGTGACACTGAGCACCATAACTATTAAATGGAAATGTTACATTTAGCAATGTGCATTGTACATGGAAGCTTAAAACTTATATCACATACAAGATAGAAGAAAGAAAATAACAAATGATATGCTCTAACTTACAGCGTAAGTACAGATTTATAGCATGACTTAAAAATCCACTTCCTGAGATGCCATTCAACAGTGAAGTTATAGGAATGAAGGACATTGAGATCACATCAGGCTCCTGATCAACACTTTGTAACCACTGATTATGCATCAGGCCTCTGCTATCACTTCCACCTCTCCTCTTGCAAATACAAACAGTATCCTGCAATTTCAGTAGCCAATGGGCAAGTTGACAAACTTGTTTCAGAACTCTAAAGTGCACAAAATTTAACAGACCTAATGAAAATCCTATACCACCTACCTCCTTATGTGCATATGAACCTGATATATTGGGATCGGCGAACCTCAGTCGGTGCTCCCTGATTTCAAACTGAGGCAACATTATCAAATTAGAGACAGAGACAATAGATTCATAATAATTGTGACGTAATAAATAATATATGTCATGAATTTTTTCTCTAGTAATCTAATGGTTATGACAAAAGACGTGATATAGAACTTGACAGTAAGGATTTCAACTAATACCCAATTGTAAGACAAATGACCTACAGAGTAAATCCATCTGCAGATATTGATTGACATTGTCTATGCGGCCATAGAAGATCTTATAAGCCTTTCTGATTCAGCCAATATTGCAGAGATTTTAAAATAACAATTCAAGGAGAGAGAAAGGACTTTGCAAAACAACCAGGAATAAGGAAGGTTGGCAATTATGACCATTCAAGCAATAGCGATGACTGATGAGACATAAAGACCCTAAATTGTTTGGGTCAGAATCCCTTCTGAGTCATAAAGGGATAAGAGAAACAGAAAAACATAAGCTTCAGATTATCTTGTTTCTGAATCCAAAAGGGTTGGTACATCCATCAATTTGGCCTTCACCATCCCTTTTTTAAAATCGAAAAGTGTAATTAGTGCACAGGCTCCAAAAGCTTCATATAAGAACATAATTCATGTGTTTGTGAGTGTTTGTCATGATTATGGAAATTGGAGGGTCAGATGATATCCTTTACCTTCTCATTCTGATGTGCCTGCTGCGATTCTATTCTGCCTTGTTCATTTGCACCTGAAAACCTCTTATCTGCCATTGTCTTCAAACGTTTTTGCACGTCAGCAGGCAGAAGCGATGATGAGTGCTGTTGTTTCATATATATTACATCTTTTCCCCCCATCTTTATACCAACAATGACATGAGTACCAAATTTTTCAATAAACCTGGAGAATGAACACAACTTCAGAACTAGTATGACAAAGTCCTAATAGACTAGAACTTTCCAGTAAACAATGTGTTGCTTGTAATTGACCAGTTTATAAGTAAAATGAAGGTGGATACCAGATAGTGTCCTAACAAGCAGTTGCTTCAAAGCCCAGAACTCAAGTTTGTAACTTGGAGAGCTCTAAGATTCTGATCAACTAAAATGCCTCGCGTAAATAAAAAGGAATACACAAAAAACTCAAAAGACATTGACGTACAGTTATTATTTGAGGTGTCAAGCAGTTGCATCAAAGCCCTCTTACTCAAATTTGTAACTTGGAGAGCTCTATGATTCTGATCAACTAGAATGCCTCAAGTAAATAAAAAAGAACTTCGCGAAAAACTCAAAGGACGTTGACATACAGTTACTACTTGAGGTGTCATTAACTGTTTACTTTCCCTTCCTTTCTCTCATATAAAAAGGGAACAAAGTCAAAAAGTTGATTAGACAGTAAGGGAAGTAAAAGCGAGAGCCACATAGAGTATGGATCTAAAGTTGTTTTTAAAATTGGACCTCCTTCAGACAATGGAGACTATCTTGAAATAGGAAGGAAACAGTTGCCAATGTTTAAGAGTTTAAATATGCAACAAAATATTACCTTGCTAATGCTGCAGGATCCCATGTTGACGGAACTTCCTTTTTAACATAATCACACAGCACCATTTGAGATTTTTCTAGAGCAACAGAGTACAATGTGATGAACACACCATCAAAAGCGAGGGTTTTAGTGTATGCAGCATCCTTCTGCCAAGAACCAGAAAACTCGAACATAGTATTGAAGATCCCTGAAGGAATTTTACCATTCACGGATACTTCCTGATTGAACTGCTCTGACATCTGCAGGTAAAAAAGGAACTCTTAGATTGACACAAAAACAAGATGGGAAAATTTGCAGAGAATAGCTACTCTGACCAACTTAATAATCAACAGCAGAGGAGAGATTACAAGTACATGCACAAAAGTGAATTATATTCACATATATGTTTTCCTCAAACTCTTCATAGTGATTAAGGAACAAAAACCCATTAACATGGAGATAGCATCATTCTTCCTACTGTAAGAAATTTTACATAAATATATTCCTAAACTCTTCATATAGAAAACAGTTGGCATCATAAAATACAGATAAAAGAACACATCCACGCGCTACGGTAACCAGAAAAGATTCTAACCTCTTCATATTAAAGCAAATAACATAAGCAAAATGATATCACTATAGCAGCTTAAAGGTGTAGCAACATAAGACCCAATGACCAAAGAAAAGTAGAAACAAAGATACCTGCTGGAAAGAAAGAACATCAGAGCGAAACCGTGTGTGTTCTCCTTTATCACATTTGATAGATTTTGACACATTAGGTATTGAAATTCCACCAGGAAGCACAACCTCCCGACCCTCATTTTCATCAATTTCAATTAAACGACTATTAGATGGGTGACTTTTACAATACTTGAGCCTCAAATCCAAGGATATATCATATCCACATCCTATAGACTGAATCGCAACCTTAGCTGCTTCAGCAGCAGGTAACTTCAACGCCATTCGTCACAACATCCTTCTTCTATCGAAAAACGACTTAAGTTACAGAAATGTTCAACATTACCATACACGCAACCTATAAATGAACCATGTAAAAAAAAGTCCCTCCGTGTTCCTAGACTAGTCAAAATACAGCTGTAACTAACAGAAGAATAATCAAAACTTTGGAAGTATCAATCTAGAAATTTGAAAAATTATATCCAGGATACTCGATTTCTCGTTTTCCACCAAATCAACTACACAGTATAATCCTAGAATCACGCAAGTACTCGAAAAACCTCCGTCATGAATCGGCGAGCATTTCAGTCTAGTACGGACTCGAAACCCTAGCTGAAGTGTGTATCGAAATGGGGAGTTGGAGATCCGAAGATTTGGTATTTGCCTTTGAAGTGAAGTGAAGCTCAGATCTAGAGAAGAGCTTCGAAGACGACGGCGATGAATTTCAGAAGACGATTTTGAGGTTAATGCGCTTGATATGGAAACTCTGTATTTTAATGTTTTTAACTCTTTTTAGGATTTTTGCTTTTTGTATGAGAATGGAGATTTTAACAGTGACAGGAGTTGAGTGACGACGTCAACCGAGTTGACTAACATTCTGCGGTCTAAATACAGCCAATCAGCGAAAGAAACGTGTCTGGACTATAATCTTCCCAACAAAAGAGGGAAATTTAGCATATACGGCAAAATGTTTGTACTACAAATGATAGTGAGTGTTCGTGATTCGGTTTAAATCGGTTATTGGTTAAAATTAAAATCAAATCAATTTAGTTGGTTTTTAAAAATTTTAAAATCAATCCAAATCAAACGAAAAAAATAACCGTCAATTTGGTTCGGTTTGATTCAATTTTTCCGGGTTTTTTCGGTTTAAAAGTAATAATTTTTTTGAGAATATACGTATCTCGATAGACACAAACACCTAGTACATGAACAATCTACATGAAAGCTAATGTCGGTTCAATTAAGCAATACTAGAGTTAATTACACGAACAAGGTGATTCAATTAAGAGAAAATGTGACTATCTTATGTGAGGTAGAATAGGTAAATATTAAAATAATGAATTTTGATGGACTTGGACTTACGAATGTAATAATTGGACTAAAATTTAAGTGTTGAATGAAAAAATGATAAAGTTAAATTTCTTAAGTTAATTAAAATTTAACAAAATTATTTATATTATATTAGTAATTTATCGACTCGATTTGATTATTTTTGTAGTTTTTTTTAGTAAAATCAAATAATATCGGTTTTCAAAATTTAAAACCAAACAAAACCAAATATCAACTTTTTTAATCAGTTTGGTTCGGATTGCAGTTCGATTTGATTTTTTAACCATAACCATGAACAACCCTATTGACCATAACTTCATAATTATTGCAGACACTTAAAATTGTCGTAAATGATACACCCTTTAACTCGTTCAAGTTTAACTTGACACTAACAACTATTGAAGTCTAGTATTGAGGTGAGGAGTGTGCTAGCTAAATGAATTTTACTTTCAATACTACTTTTTTTCCTTTCTCTCTTTGCTATTATTCAATCTGAATTGCTCACAGAATAATTGACACTCAGTCATTCACATCTCTATCATTTAAGTGATTTTGCTAAAACTTAGTAATACATTCCTAAACTTATGATTACTACATTAAAGAAGTGGAAGTTAACTTGTTAACTGAATTCCTTAAAAGAATCAATGTTGGAGTGAGAAACCAAAATACGGAAAAGATCGTGACCCAAGATCCATGATACGAAAATCAAAATCAAAATAACGAAGAAAAAGACATCGTGATGTAAGTCTGTTATTCCTTGCATTATAGGTGTTGCTGCGTCTTGAGATCCTAATTGTCATGGTTCCGCTGCATCACAAGGAGCAATTGTAAAAATATCTTTGTGAAATAACTCTGACGAGAAGAAAAAATAAGGCATTGAGAGACATTCCCATTGAAAGAAGAAAGAAGAGAATTTAATGATATCACTCATATGAATTATTGTAGTTATTTTAATATTGAAAATTAATATTTAATAATAGTACTAAATTAACTAAAATAATAAATTAATTTTTATTTTTTAAAATTAAGCAAATAAATTAGATAATTAATTTTAGGCAGAATGACCTGAAACGCCCCTATACTTGACTTTGTTTGTCAGTTGGACCCTTCTACTCACCACTTTGCCAACTAAACCCTTAAACACATTAAAATACAACATTTTAAACCCTTTTCGGATGGCTAAGGGTGCGTGTATTACAATTTATTCTACGTCGATTCCACGTCAGTTCCACATCATTTAAAAATGCCACATAGAAAATTACATGTCAAAAGTCTAAAACCTCCTATTTCTTTTCATTTTCTCTTTGTTCAAATACACCCGTATACTTTTTTCACCTCAATTTTTGCTCTTCACTCCCATGGTATTGTCCAAAGTCTTAGTGCGATTTTTAATTTCTCTTTTTATTAACCTTACCTTAACCTAGAACAAAATCTGTTTTGTTTACTATTTTTTGGTATGATATTTTCGTGTATCTCGAATTTCATGATTATGAAATTAGAAAAAAATAATTCTTTATGGGATTTTTTATGCAATCTGAGAAATCTAAAAAAGAATCTAGGTATCTGATGAAAATTGAGCTAGATTAATTTTTTTCTCTTTTGGGTGTTAGAGAAAATGAAAAAAAATCTTTTTTTTTTGCTTGCTGCGTGTTTGATGGAATTGCACTAAGAGTATTTTTTCTCTTTTTGATGTTTGATGAAATTGGAGAAAGCTTGTTGTATTAAAGGGAAATTATTGAATAGAAAATTTTATACAAGTGATGGAGAATATATATATACAACAACACAATTATACAAGCAGCAAAAATTAAAGAAAAAAATCGACTGATAATGTAGGATTTATAGGAGTAAGAAGAAAAAAAAGAATGACAAAAACAAAAAAAAAGGAAAATTTTTGAAAGAAAATTTGAGTGAAAGGCCAGAGAGAACTAAAATTTTAGTTAATAATGGTGTTGAACTCATTGGAGAAGAAGATACCTGCTATAAAGGATAAAAGTGACTTTTTTAAATGTCTTACACCCTTAAAATGTGTGTATTACACGCACTTCGGACAAAAATGTCACATAGGATGACACGTAAAAAAAGAGAGTTTAAAATATTGTGTTTTAATGAATTTAAGGGTTCAATTGGTAAAGTGATGAGTATAATGGTCCAACTGACAAACGAAACCAAGCATAAGGATCTCCCATATCATTGTAAAAGTCTACAAAGATGATAATCATTATACAGTGTCCTAACAAAAAGAATAGAAAATTATCATACAAGAGAAAAGGGAAAAATACATACATACTACTATTTATGTAAAGTTATTATTACAAACGATAGTGATCATACAACATTCCCAATTAAAAAAAGAAGTTATTATGTGAGGGAGAAGGATGAAATATGTACATAGACATTTAGAACTTTTTGCAAAGGCTTAAGTCATACACAATCCTTTAAAGTTGTCCGTATATTTCACTTGAACACCTTAATTAATTAAGTCTTGTACCTATTGAACATCTCTAGTGCACACCTATTTGACATTTTTTTGACAGTCAACAAAAAATATTAAGTGCGTGAGACACACTCGCTATGACATGGCACTATGACGAATTAAGTTATGACATATGTCAGTGGGATCCAAAAAATTATTAAAAATATAAATCAATATGAGTGAAAAAATATTTTAAATAATAAAAATAAAATAAATTTTTTGTAATTCCTGCACAATTCCCCCACCCACCAAACCTTTCCCCTGCAACCCATAAGAATCAACCCCCCACGTCTCTTTCTCTTTTTGTTTTCTGTTCTTCTTTATCATAGATTAACAATGGCAAATCGTTCAGATTCAATTATTTTAAAAAAAATAAACTTTAATAGTTACCATTGTTACTAAGCCCACCCAAATTCTTTCCTACTACCTATAAGAACACTACTTCTTTTTTTTTTTCTAATTTTCTAAATCAGCAATGACAGATATAGATTCAATGGTGATAGAGGAGGTGAATAAGTGACTGTAGAAATAATAACAATAAGAAGAAAAGGGATATAGCGTTGAAGAAAAAAAACACGAAAGTGTCGATGTAAATCGTAGAGGTGATGATAGTTGTTGCTTAATAGAAGAGGAAGAAATGTATGTATTGATTGCCATAATAACAAATTTGAAAAAATAATATGATAATGATGATAAAGGAAGAGCAAAAAATGAGGAAGAAGAAGAAGGATGTTTATAGCAACAAAGGCGGATGCGAGTGCTAAGGTGGAGAGGTGATGGCAACAAGTCCAATGAAAAAAAAAGAGATTTTTAAGTTTAAAAAATGTCTAATTTAATTATTTCACGCGCTTGTTATTCGTGAATTACATTCAAAATGCCATGTAAGTAAAAAATGCTCAATTGGTATCAATTCAAAGTACTAGAGGAAAAAAAGAAGTACTAAAGGTGTTCAATATGTACAAGGTTTAATCGAGGTACTCAAGTGAAATATGGAGACAACTTTAAGAGGTTGTGTATGACTTAAGCCTTCTACAAATGATAATAATCATATAAATATAATGGACTAATTTTTTTAGTAAAAGTGTCTTAAAAATATTCTTAAACTATTATTCTGTTGATATATCTAATGAATAAATTAAGTAATGAGAATAAAAAAAAGGAGTCCTTAATTTTCAAAAACATAAGTAATTTTATATATATTTTTTATAAAAATAGAAACAAAAGAAGAAAAAACAGACACCCACTTCGTCGCTGCTTGCTCCGGATCCTTTCTTTCTACCTGTCCCCTCTCTTTAGAAATTTTTTTTTGTTGCTTATCGCTACTCTTAAGTTCTGATGCACATTTTATGAGAAAAGGACCAAAATTGTCCCTTATCTTTGCCTCAAGACTCAAAATGATCCTTATCATTTCATATGGAGCACTAATAGTCCTCCTTCTTTGTAAAAATAATACAGTTTTAGTCTATCAAATATTTTCCATCTATCATCAACGGAAGTTGCTTATATGCGTGTCATGCATTAAATTAAATAAATTTTTTTACCCTAAAAAACTAATTGTTCTGTGTATTTCCTATTCGTATCATTCTAGAGGGTAGATATATGCCCTAAATGGAGTCAAAGCTATAGCAACAAATCATAGCTTGTATATAGAATTTGTTACTTCTTGTTGTAAGCACTTTTCAATTAACAGATCCAACCTTCAATTCTTTTCATGCACGATAAAAAAATTTCTTCGATATCATTATCTCCCTGATATTATCAATTCTATAAGGATGTATGAATTTTCTTAACGAGTAATCATAACCCAATAATAATTATTAAATTATAATTTTATACTTAATTGATACTAACAAGCTCTTGTTTTAAACTTGAAACGTGTTTCTGGAATTCTAGACAAATGATTTAGTATATCTATGCAACCAAAGGATGTAGTGTAGTGGATAAAAATGTTTATCTCTTAACCAAAGGTTTCAGATTCGAGCTCTCGCTATATGAACCAAATGGAGCCCTAC